AAGGAGCAACTCAAGTCGGCATCAAGGACGAAAATGACGTCTTTCTGTGCAGTGGAGATTTCACAGCCCTCTGCTAGTCTGTTGATCCGGTGTATTTGTCAGTAAGCGGCAGGGAATACATTGACTCCCTTGAGAAAAGGCATGAATGTGTGTGTGTCATTGGACCTTCTGGCCCCCGCAGCCAGCTCAGAGCACAGCCCCTTCATTTCTCCCTCATGTCGTTCAGAGCGATAGAGGCCAGACCTTGTCCATCATTCTGTTATTAGGCCGCACACGAGCTGGTGAATCTCTGCCTCAACCTGCTGTCCACCAACTGCATGCTGTCTTGTTCCGCTTGGGAGGGCACATGTCATATCTGTCTAAAGAGAAATATTTAATACCAGGGCATTCCCTCTTCCCAGCTGTCATCACATGACATTTGCACGAGTTAACTCATCTCTATGATGTCTATTTAAGCCAGAAAACTTTAAAACAAACTGTCTAGAGCTGCAAAAAATTATTATTTTATTTATCAATCTGTCAAATCAAATCAATTTTCTTGATTCAATCAATTAGTCATCTGTCAGAAAATAGTGAAAAATGTCCATCAAAAGTTACCAAGGTAACGTCTTCACGTCTTGTTCTGTCTGACCAAGATATATACCAACAAGATATTAAGTTGACTATCATAGAAGACTAATGTTGAAATAATATTGTTAAATTGGTACATTTAATTGTGTACATGGTTAGTTTAAATATAATACCAATGTACACACTAATAAAACCCTGATACAGAGACAAAACTGTTGTTCTTTGATGTATGATCCGTGGTGCAAGTGAAAGTTGTCTTTTTGATGTGAGTATTAAATATACTGCAAAAGCAAGCTGAAATAAAATCTAAGACCCTCCCCTGCAAACCCAAAAAAGTCAAACTACACTAACTTCACTTTCCTCCCCCTTTTCTGATCTGTCATTTTCCTACAGTCCCTTATCTGGAATAATTGGATATGACAATTATTCTGAACAAAGTAAGATTACAATTTTGCTCTTTACTAGTTGACTGCTCACTATGATCTCTTTCACAACTGCTGGGCTTCTGCTCAGGTGATGTCAACTGTATTGAAGTAAAATCCATCAGGTAAAGGTGAAAGAGCACAAAAAGCTACCAAATAAATGAAGTGAAGGTAAATGGTCACTAAAATGAATCTCTCTTTCTTTACCTCAACTATTTGGAACTTAATATAATTAGATTAGTGAAAAACCGAAGCCTTAATCTGTTTTGGTTCATTACCTGCTCTACACTGCAGACTGTGAATATGAAGCAACTGTAGACCATACTTTTACTACACTGCATGTTTAATATTCCTCTAGCTGAAGCAGTTAGGTGTAAAATACAGATTACATCCTGACATTTAAGATGCTTTAAAATCATTTTACTATTTGTGACAAATTTCTATGTAAAATAACACTCTCACACATAAACTGAAAACATGGCAGAAACATCCTTTTTCCTGTCCAGATATGGCCATTAATGAAGGAGGGCAAAGACAAAAGCTGAGTAGCAGCCAGACAAAGAAATCATAAGTGAAATTCATTAAATGAGTTATCTATCTACTTAAAACTAGTTCTGGCTCACTGAGTGGTGAAATGACATTTGGAGCATCTAGCAGGGTTTATGCACCAGTAAGTGTTCTTCATAGGTAGCTGGCAATTAGGCATGGCAAAACATCTCCAGTAACGTCTCTAATTCATCTCTTTTGGCATGTGGGAGAGACAACACGGGCCGATTGTTTTGTCTCATGTGTCAGAGGATTTCAATGGAAGCCAATCACAGGCCTTTCTCCACAGCCCACAATCTCCGCCTTGTCATGCTGCCATTTTCTGCGCAGACAGACAAAAGATGAGGACAAACTCAGACATTTTGCAATCAGTGTTCCTGGAGCTCGGCCACGACTCGTTTAGGCTACAAGACGACCTTGACACCCAGTGGGCATGAGAACACACATGCCACCACAGAGACAGCGAACACATACAGTGCAAACCAAGAGCACCTAGACACGCCACCTCCTGTGTGCACACACACTCACAGCTGTATGCGTCTGAGCTGTTGGCTGGTTCCTACAGAGGTTGAGCTAATCCAGCTCCAGTGTTTAGTGCTGTGAAGCGGCTGGAAACACATGAGCTGTTAACAAGTTATGGTGAAAATGTTTTCTGGCAGACGCCCTCCTCCTCCTTCACACTTTACCTAGCAGCAGCTCCTCCACTGACACATCCAACCAGGCAACTGCCGCCACCACACGCTTTCACACTTCTTCTGACTTCTGCACACACGTATGTACAGCACTAATGTGTGCATGTACACAAGCATGCTCACGCACTACCACTACTCTACATCTGCTCTGATGGAAAATCACACAACCCAGCAGAAACAAGCAGAAGTAATACAAGGAATAATTTATGTGGAAAACCACCACCAATAGCTTTCCTGTTGCAGTAAGTTTACTGTATATTGTGTGGTGCTGTGCCGCACTGAAAAACACTTTTATGGATCACTGATAATGCTGAGTTACAGTAAAGAGCATTTTCCAACATAACCACCTAAATAGTGTTTTTAACCCTAACATGACCAACACTGCAACCATACAACCATCTTTAGCTGTCAGATGACGTAAATGTTTACCTTTCCCATCTAGACCATCCTCCCTATATGACATTAATTGTTATTATTATTATTATTAATAATAATAATTAATGTTTGTTTCCTACCCTCTTTTGCATCTCAAGGTATTTGTCACTGTGTCTGTGTGTATGTGAGTGTCTAAATGGAGGCAGCGACCCTGCCAGCCCTGGCGATGGCCCACAGCACTGGGCTCCTGAGTGCCAGCCGCTATGGATGGCAGCACGGTCCAAGCAAAAGCTTTTGACAACACGAAGCGACAACAGTAAAGCCCCACAGAAAGTACAGCACAAGTAGGCCAGCCTCTCAGGGAGCCTCCTCCTCCACCCTGTCCTCGTCCTCTTCTGGTTCACTCACACAGCATCCGCAGGGCTCAGCTTGTCTTTTCAGAGTGAGCCAATAGTACACCCTTCCACTCTGATGGAGCCCACAGAGCTCAATATGCAGCGATAGTTGTCTTCTTCTACTAACACAAACACAGGAGTGGGACTGATGGCTGCTGGGGCATGTGTCTGTGTGTGTGTGTATACTGCAGCACAGACATCTCTACGCACAGTATTGTTGCCTGTGATGTGTGTGCTGTGCAGGTTTGTGTTTCTGTGTGCAGGTTGTTGACAAGTTGAAAATGGAAGGCATCAGCAAAACGACGTGCACATCAGTGAGGAGTGGTGGAGTAATAAAGTGGCTCTGATGAAAACTTAATGGCCCCTTCACCTTTATTAATGGCTGTGGGAGCAGGATCGTGCGCTCGGGTTCACCGCCGTAATAACACGTGTAGCACTGCGCAGGGAAAGCAGCTCCATCAGCTCCATCAGCTCTCACTAACTCACTGCAAGAGAAGCTCATAACAGGAAGGGAGGCCCACTAATTGACTCCCTGACAACTGGCTAACTAGCAACTGATTTTAGCCAAATGAGCCTTAAACACAGTTCAGCACAGGACATGCAACGGGTGATGTTTGAATTTAAATGAGATGATCTGTTCTGTGTTTCTGTCTGCAGTTGCAACACCTGTGCTTCCCTGTGAAAAGGAGGCATTCAGTGCGCATTCTTCCCTCTTTGCAGATACTTGCGCTACAATCACACAAGCAGCCACTTATTAATATCTCCCTTTCAAATGCTAATGCTAGTTCATACATAAATCATAACTCCAGAGGTGGCTGGTAGAGTGTAGCAGTTTTTTTTTTTTTTGTTTTTTTTTAGTGAGGGGGTGAAAGGCTGGGGGGGTCCAAGCAGCCTGCCTGTTGTAACGCATGAAATTATCCCACAAATTGCATGAATAGTAGAGCATCCCAGATATCACTCTTCGAACAAGGCCAATTGTTTTTTGCTCTAACAAGCATCCAAGCTCCCACAGCCTCAGCAACAATCTGCAACATGGCAGTCATTCCCAAACTTTCCCCAAAGTCATGGCCCTGCAAACAGATCCGGATCACCGTGTTCACCCTGAAACACTCCCATTTGTGAACATGTTTGTTGTTGGATGTAACTGCACAGCTGTTTACACCATAGGTGGGGAGGGAATGCAGAGTGGTCGCACATTCACTAACCGGTTTTCAATTTGACAAAGAGAGACGAAATTGAAATTCCTGCTAGTGGGTGAGCCCTGAACAGTGAGCAGGCTGGCAATCCTGGTGCCACTTTCGCAGCTTCGATGTGTGTCTGGCATGCTGTGCTGCAGATGCTGCTCTGTATGGTACACCCCCCAGATCAATGAATCACTTCATCTGACTGTAATGCACGGCATCATCCCAAATGTGTTCTCATGAGCAACTGTCTCAGGCGGAGCATCAGTGCCACCACAGTACTGATCTTGTTGTGTCATTCAGTTTCCCGGTGTGTGCAGCATGTATGTGGCCAACTACACAGTTTCATCATGAGGTGTCAGTGAACCCTGAGCCCCCCCCACCCCCGGCCCCAAAGAAAAAAAAATTTGAAAA